AAAATATTTAAAAAAGGAAGAAGGCAAGTTATTGTCAGGCAAGAATTTGAAATCATTTTAGTTCAACCTGAATATATATATTCGATGATAGGCAGTTTAATTCTATGAACATTTTAAAACGTTCCGCCAAACGTTTCAACCTCGTTCCCAGGGCTTTTCCCTTTTTGTCATTGGGAAGGCGGGAAAAGGCCCTGGCACCGGCCGGTCTTCTATGTCTTCTGATTGGTCAATGACAAGTACATTATTATGCAAATAATGCAATCTTGGATTAATTTATTCAAACTTTGGGATAAATTGACATTTCATGCTAGGAATGTCCATTATTATACTTTGTCCGTCTAAGAAATATTTTTGGCAAAATCTGTGGAAAAATGGTTAAATTCTATAAGATTTATACACAATTTGTCGAAGGTTAGTATTATTGTTTGTTTTAAACTGTGAGAGAAGATTAATTGTGTACTAGAACACACCTCTGACGGCTCTGAGGCTCTGACCGAGTATTTAGGGCAAAATGTGCCTTCATATTTGGCTTCGTATAGCGTTTATAATGTTTATATTTATAAAACTAAAGTCTTGGTTTATAAACTGAAACATGACCTTTAGTTTTTGATATTCTTCATAGTCGAGTTTAAATTGGCCTAATTTATAGTTAGTTACCAAAAGAAATACGACGATAGTTTGTTATATCATATATGCAACAGTGTTTACAACTTTTGAATAATATGTGATTTGGTTTTGTTTCAGATACTATTACATGTTGCTTCATTTTACTATAAATTGTGTTAAAAAAGTGATATGCTCATTTGGCTGATGTTACAGTTTTTTTATGTGTTTTGTTTGGATGATATTAGAACAATTTCAATATGAAAGTGCAGGTGTCTTTAGACATGAGCCATAATGTATATATCAAAATACTGATAAAATCCGTTTCCAGCTTGATTGTATTTGCATATGTTGTATTTGCATTGTTGCAGACAAAGTTGTGCAATGGTGGGCTTATGTCACATACTCGTATGTAATTCCATGTACCTGCATGTACAGTACTTTGATGCCTCAAGAGATGCGTCGAATGTGTAATAAAGGGCTGTTCGCAGGAGTTGGGCTATCTGGCCATAAATTGCATTGATTTTATGATATTTTAAGATTGTATTCATATGGCTGGACCATCTTGCCATTGCCACAATGTCTGATGTTCAAACAGGCTTTAAAATCAGGTTACAATGCATGCTTGAAAATATGCAACAATTTCACTGCTAATAATATTCCAGAAAATCCTGCTTCTTGGGCATATCTGGACTGATTTGTCAGAGGGGGTTGCAGGTTTTCTACTTGTGATCGGGCAAGGGGAGCTAGCCAAGGGTGCTGGGTCAGAGTCAAACTCATGTGAACAGCTTCTAAGTCCTAATTATATTGATAAATTATGTACACTTTGGGATGGTAATGCAATTTGTAAAATATTCCACATTTTATTTAATAAAATTTAATTATATACATTGTTTTTGTTGTTTATATTAACACCTTGGACAGTGTATATTTACACCTTTGGACCCTGTAAATAAACACCTTTGGAGGGTGTACCCATTCCTAGCCAAAGACATTTAAGAACAATTATCAAGGTATTTGCATGATAAAATATATTTAAAACTGCTCTCCATATACATGTAATGCATGGTTCAATTCTTGCTTTTACCAAGTAAACCCAGGGATTTTCAATGTCCCCCTCCTCCCGTAGAATTCACTTGAAGTGACTGGGGCAAGGTAGCTATAAGTATAAGTAGTTATATTAATTTAATTAAAGTCAATTAAAATTTACAAATTGAGCTTTTTGAATATAGACCATTGCAAAATTTTTTTTAATTTGTTTAACCCTTTATAGTGGCAATGTCCCTACTTTAGTATATTACTCCGTCTGGTGCCAGACAATTTTACTCAAGGGCAGAATGTAGACTTGCCACAAGTCGACCTCGAACGAAACGTCGGCTCACACTCGCTGCTTGCGTTTCGTTCGAGGTCGACTTGTGGCAAGTCTAGGCAGAATGCTGCCACTCAATGAGTTAATATATTCTCAGAACAATTACCATCAAATTTAATCTATTTTGCTGGCAAAATTGCCTTGGAGGGGGTCCTTGATTTGTTGAGTCTTTTTTTTTTTGGGGGGGGGTGAGTGTTGTAAAAACAGAATAGCAACTGGTTTCAGAATAGGAAGAATTGTTGTAATATAGGTAATATAATTCTAAGACAAATCATCCAAAGGAAGCAATCATTCTAGCTCTTGTAGTGTATGTTGCAACAGGGATGGATTTACTGGGGGGGGCTGTGAACTCCCCTAGCCCTGGCCAGAGGGGGTGCAGGGGGTTCTATTTTTCATGATAAAGCAAAAATTATTACAGGCAAAATGAGATACAGTAATTTGAGTAATAACATGATGATAAGCGAGCTGTGAACAACAATTACAATTCAAATACAGTAGTAAAGCAAGACTTTGCAGTAGTGAAGCAAGTTGATGGGCGGGCGGCACACATGGCCGACACAACTCGGCACCAGAGCTGGCAGAGCAACCCCCCCCCCCCTACCAGATCATGCTGGATCCATCCCTGTGTTGAAAAATGTATTTTCTTCATAGTCAGGCATTCACATGAATGAAGATTAGAATTGCATCATGTTATATAGTCTTAAATATTTAGGAGGGGTCTCCATTATTAAATTAAGAGATTAAAAAAGGGTCCCATGACATTTTGACATAAGAATTTCCCACCCCACCATGGGGTATAATTAATGGTCACTTAAAGTACATACCATCTTCTAACTGGGGCACCTTGCCCCTTTTGTGATGGAAAATCTATTCCCTACCTTTATCCCCTGGGACAAAAAATTCAAATCAACTCTCCACCCTGATAATGTGCAGATGGTAACAGCAAGAATTGAAGCAAGCAAGCTTTACTGGGAACTATTACTACATACTATTATTAGGAAGCATCAATTCGCACATGCTAATTTGCCAGTCATGATTTTAAACGTAATATTTCTTATCTCGTATAGAATTCTTAAGGTCTTGTTTACATTTTACTGGAAGCAAACTAAGATGCATATCCAATATTTGGGTCATATCAATCGTATGTCAGTTTTGCAGCTTGCCAGCTTCAACAACATTTGGCTGCAAGGAAAACGTAAACAAGGAAAGAGCATATAACACTTCATCTGTGTTTAAAATATCAATGAATAAATATTCCAACCATTGGCACTTTATAATATAAGTGACATTCAACAATAGATCAATAACATATACAGTATATGCAAAAACATTTCTTTGAATCACTGTATAAAATATTCCTCATAAACTCGCTCCAATCGTCGTATAGCAGAGTCTTTGGAAGGGTAAAACAAAGTTTAACATCCCCAGTTCAAAACACTTTCCGTATCCTCTTAGGCAACCATGTCCAGCTGGAGAACATCTGTCGTAATACTATTATATTTTGGCTGCTAATTTTGTTTAGCGAACGAACGATATTTACGAAACCCAGTTGGAAGAACAGCAACTACATAGTTCCCATGTAATAAAAGCTGAAGAATCTGATTTCGAGTACGTCGGTAGCAAAAAGAAGGAAAAATTTCAAAGACTAAACGCATTTTTAAGCCGCCCTAAGCAATTAAATTTTGTGGACACTCTTAGGTTGGCGGCCATCTTGGATTTTCTAATTCATTATTATTATCAGGGTTGCCAGGTGGTCTGAGCCCGAAAGAGCCAAATGATACGTAAAAAGTAGCCAAATCCGGCCAAAAGAAGCCAAAATCGAAATTTAGAGTAGGGACTGGGGCTTACCTAATTATACGAATTATATACCCATAAAAACAATCGCTAATGCATTTATATTTGACATAGTGACTAAGAATTCCAACTCAAAATGATTAACTTTAATTAACTTTATATTTCTGGTTCTAATGGAAGTTCATCTTCGTCAACTGCGGATCGAAAAACAGTATTATTTTTAAAGAAAAAACGAGTATTTTATAATTTTCGTTTTTGGCTAACCACGTAAGCCCGGGGAGAGGGTACTAATTCCGATCGGATATTTACGTACATTCGGAATCCCGGAACTTTTACCGATGGATGGCAGACTATTTTTGAAAAGTTGCTTATTTCAGTATTTATTCAAAGAGAAGCCAAAAAGAGCCAAATAAATAGAAAGAAGCCAAACGAAATTTTTAGTAGCCAAACAAAGTCAAAAGAAGCCAAAATCGAGAAATTTGGCTCTTTTAACGCCAAACTGGCAGTCTTGATTATTATAATGTATTACACCCACTATATCTGAGTGTTGAAAGTCATGTGACCGGCCGGTGCCAGGGCCTTTTCCCGCCTTCCTAATGACAAAAAGGGAAAAGCCCTGGGAACGAGGTTGGCAATCGCTTATTTAGCCTAAGCCTTACTAGCTAAGCCATTCTTTCTTTGAGTACCACGACATTTGAAAACCTTTCCGATCGGGCATGTCGAAAGATCTGGCGTTTGTCTCTGCTCAAGTCTCTCTCCGTGGGTTTTGATAGGGTATATCCAGTTTATTATGAGATCAGTTTTGAACTTGAAACAGAGAACGAGAGAGACTTGTAAAACTCGGCACTCATTAATATTCACCCGACAAAATCCTATCCGGTGACGTCATATCAATAAAATTGCCAGGGGTATGAAGTTTTTTTACGGACAAAATATCAGAAAACCGTAAATCGATCTTACGTGCCATAAAACTTGGCCACGCGCAATCATATTAATGTTATGAGCTGTACAATGTAAAGCAAAACATAAATCATAGTTAATAGAGATAAATCGAAAACGAAATCCTTTGCATTTATGTCGAAGTGCACATAAAATTAAGATAGAGACTCGTACATTTAAAACACGAGGAAGTTGGTTGAAATAAAACATGAGGAAGCGGAAATGAATATGCAAGAAGCGGAAGTGAATATAGTGATATGCAAACAACTATTCTATTATTTTGTATTTGTAATGTATGGCGTGTGTAGGACCGAGAATTTGCCTACCAAATGCAGATTTTTTTAGGGAATTGAATAATTTTGTGATAAACGCCGAGCAAAATCGTGCAGCTTGTGACTCGCTCGACTTTTATTGTCGAAGATTAGAAGAGTACCAACATACACTAAGCGTTTTAACAAGGAGGATTAATACGAAGTCATACCACACTGAACAAGAACTCATAAGCGATCTAGAAGTTCTCCTGAATTGTTTGAATACTTTTCGAAATCAATTTGAAGCTCTGTCTGAAATCTTTGATCGCACCTGCGCACAGAATTTACTGCAAGAGTCTTATGACCAAAGTATCTTTTGCCTGAACACAACGGTAGAGTGCGAAGACCAAGGATACATGTATAAACGCAAGAGCAATTAAACATACTGCACAATACAGCTGGCCCTCGATGGGCTGATATTGGAAGAATTTTAGGTTTTCAGAAAGAACTATTAGACGGCGTAGGCATCAGTTTGGGCTTGTAGCACTGGGTAGAGAAACTGCATTCAGCAACATCTCTGACAACAATCTGGACAACCTTGTTCGTGAAATATTAATCACTACACCAAGTTTTGGTGGTCGTCTCGTGGAAGACAGTTTGAGGAGTAGGGGACTATGCGTTCAAAGAAGGCGTGCGCAAGAATCCATAAGAAGAGTTGATCCAGTAATTAGAACACTCCACTCCACACGTACCATTATTTGAAGGGTCTACAATGTACCATCACCAAATGCTGTGTGGTCAAATATAATTCTGACTGATTTTTATCACATGTCTCCATATTCCTGGATGTCATGGCGGCTATGTTGGACGAAAGCCAAGAATAGCTATTGTATTTGTAGCGTGTTTTCCTCCAACATGGCCGCCATGTCTTTCAGGCGTAGCCAGGGCGGACCAGGGAGGCCGTCCCCCTGGCAAAATTTTGCCTTCCCCTGATAAAATGTATTGTATAAAAAAGGGAATCCTTGATTATATAGCTTCATGCTGCAAATAATGAAAAAATTCTGTAGAATATATGCTTTGCTGCGCATCAGTGTGAAACCTAATATCTTGTTCGCTTATTTGCGGCATGCACAAAGCTTGAAACACATACCTTTTCTAACCCTAATTATTTCAATATGTATTGAATGAAGGTTAGATGAAGTTTAAACCAATTTTTTTTTACCAAATAAGCGAACAAGATTTTAGGTTTTACACTGATGTGCAGCAAATCATATATTCTACAGAATTTTTGCATTATTGACAGCATGAATTAGCTATATAATCAAGGATTCCCTTTTTTATACAATACGTTTGATCAGGTGGGGCCCAAAATTTTGCCAGAGGGGGGGGGGCAAAATATTTCCAAGGGCGTGGGGGGGGGGGGCTTCCCTAGCCCTGGCTATGCCTCTGAAAGACATGCTGGCCATGTTGGAGGAAAACACGCTAAAAATACAATAGCTATTCTTTTCTTAGCTTTCCTCCAACATAGCCGCCATGACATCCTGGAATATGGAGACATGTGATCAAAATCAGTCAGAATTATATTTGACCACAGAGCATTTGGTGATGGTACATTGTAGACCCTTCAAATAATGGTACGTGTGGAGTGGAGTGTTCTAATTACTGGATCAACTCTTCTTATGGATTCTTGCGCACGCATTCTTTGAATGCATAGTCCCCTATTCCTCAAACTGCCTTCCACGAGACGACCACCAGAACTTGGTGTAGTGATTAATATTTCACGAACAAGGTTGTCCAGAGTGTTGTCAGAGATGTTGCTGTATGCAGTTTCTCTACCCAGTGCTACAAGCCCAAACTGATGCCTACGCCGTCTAATAGTTCTTTCTGAAAACCTAAAATTTTTCCAATATCAGCCCATCGAGGGCCAGCTGTATTGTGCAGTATGTTTAAATGTATCCTTGGTCTTCGCACTCTACCGTTGTGTTCAGGCAAAAGATACTTTGGTCATAAGAGTCTTGCAGTAAATTCTGTGCGCAGGTGCGATCAAAGATTTCAGACAGAGCTTCAAATTGATTTCGAAGAGTATTCAAACAATTCAGAAGAACTTCTAGATTGCTTATGAGTTCTTGTTCAGTGTGGTATCTCCGTATTGCACTCCTTGTTAAAACGCTTAGTGTATGTTGGTACTCTTCTAATCTTCGACAATAAAAGTCGGGCGAGTCACAAGCTGCACGATTTTGCTCGGCATTTATCACAAAATTATACAATTCCCTAAAAAAATCTGTATTTGGTAGCCAAATTCTCGGTCCAACACACGCCATACATTACAAATGCAAAATAATAGAATACTTGTTTACATATCACTATATTCACTTCCGCTTCTTGCATATTCATTTCCGCTTCCTCATGTTTTATTTCAATCAACTTCATCGTGTTTTAAATGTACGAGTCTATGTCTTAATTTTATGTGTACTTCGACATAAATGTAAAGGATTTCGTTTTCGATTTATCTCTATTAACTATGATTTATGTTTTGCTTTCCATTGTACAGCTCATAACATTAATATGATTGCGCGTGGCCAAGTTTTATGGCAAGTAAGATCGATTTACGGATTTCTGATATTTTGTCCGTAAAAATGGGGGTGAGAAGCACTGGTGTATTGCAAACTAAATGCAAAATACAAATTTTTGGCATGGCGAATATATATTAAAAACGACAGATAAATATTTTAAGTATGGAAAAAGGCTATAGGTTCTGTGAAATCTGTCTAATGTTGGACAATTTAAGTGAACACCAGATTGAGGCACTATAAAATCCGCTTAGAGGTAACGATTGTTTTATTTCTCAGCCAACGGGATCATGAAATGCGCTGTATATCAGACTATCAGTTTATATTTCCTTTCGCTTTTATATGAAGCGCTTCAGTTACTTTAGACCGAATGATGTGTACGTAGAACCAAAAACCCAGGAAATTGTAATATCTAATATGTAATAGAGAAAGCATTAAATGCTTGTCTATTGATGAAGTTCACTGTATTGTGAAATGGTAGGACAATATTACTTGAAACAATTATACAATTATTGCTCGAATTATTGTATGCCAATTACATGTCAATATTTTAATTAATATAAACTGATTTTATCTTCGAGAGACAAATATAAAATTTCAATTACATGTCAAATCATTCACCACACAATGGCTTACAAGGTTTCCCAGGCATTGTGAGCCTTTTACCCATAAATAAAGCACCTATAGGCTGATGGGAGTATTAAGGTATCAGCTTACTGTTAACCTGGAAAATATTTACAGTATTTGTGGAAAACTTTCATTTTTCATGATCCTTTAAACTTGGTCATGCATCAATGATAATGTGGTTGGATAACAGGAATATTGCAACTGTATTTGTTGATTTAGATGTTACAATATTCTGTTGTTTATTATTCATGTCTACATCATTCTAACTTTAGCTGATGAAATGTTTTATAAGCAAAACGATATAGAGCATGTGCCTTTTGGCTGTCAATTACAATCTTTACTTCGGCTAAAAGCAGAACTTGAGACTGCTTCTGTCTGGTATTCATTTAATTAAATCATGTAACTCAGCAAACAATTTCACAGATTATCTACATCCTCTCATTCCATATAGTCATTACTCTGTTTATTTACTCAACCATGTCAGCCTTTGTTTGCCATTACAACTTTGCAATAAGTATACATTACTTGATTGCTTTCAGAAGTGCTCCTTTGCATTCTACAAGTGTGAAACAATACCGTAGGCCTCCTTAGATCTATATGCAAAATAGCCAACTTCAATCTTATCATTTATCAACACTTTTGAGAAATGTACAACTTTTGGCTTCAGTTGGAAGGATCAAATGAAACAATAGTTACCACATCAATATCATTTAATATATGTATACTATTATTAGTGCTATGTGTAGTTTTAGGAATGTGTTTTTTTATGAGGGCCACAAGTTTTCAAGAATTTGCTGTTTGGTGCAACATTTTAAATAAATCTCATTAAATGTTACACAATCGTAGGCGTATAGGGCCCATCCCCTGACAATGATAGTCTGATTATAGTCTGATTAACCCATTGAGTGGCAGCACTATCCCCTAAATCACTATTTAAATCATCTGGCATTAGACAGAGTAAAATAATAAAGCAAAAGCAGAAAATGTGAGACAATGGTCAAATACACATTAAAATCAACCTCAGTACTGTAAAGTATAATCATAAATATGGCTTATTTGCATTGGAATTATGCACTGGTGTTTGGAATTGAAACTCCATGTATCATTGCTGTCATAGGCGTAGGCGTACAACTCCATGTATCATTGCTGTCATAGGCGTACAATTGCTGTCATAGCGTTTGGTCACAGAGAATGACAAAATTAAAATAGTGGGAGGAAATATCATTGGGAAAAACTTTTAGTATGCGGGAAAATATTATCGTGAATACCAATTTTTTTGGAAATCAGTGAAATATTAATTAGCAGTTGGATTTTCAAAAAATCGCAATTCCAGCTATTAGTTTATGTGTGCATGGGGGGATGGGAAGTAAGGTATCATATTGCTGATTATGTTGAAAAAAATAAAAATTGTGGTCATTTAAACACGATGTGATAGCTAGCTAATACTTGTAAATATTGAAATATTTCGGTTGTTTCGGAAGTTTGTATTGAAATTTTTCAAGCATAATCAGCAATATGATACCTTACTTCCCGCCATCCCTTGTGCTTATAAATTAAAAGCTAGAATTGCCTATTGGAATATAGGCCGTATACACCTGTGATTGTGCAACATTTATTTAAAGTTTTGCACCAAACAACAAATGCTTGAAAATTTGTGGCCCTTATAAAAAACACATTCCAAAAACTACACATAGCACTAATACTAATACACATATAATAATATTCTCAAAAGTGTTGCTAACATTGAAGTTGGCTATTTTGCTTGCCGAGCTAAGGAGGCCTATTGTTTCACTCTTGTAGAATGCAAAGGAGCACTTCTGAAAGTAGTCAAATAATGTATACTTATTGCAAAGTTGCAATGGCAAACAAAGATTGTGACATTGTTGAGTAAATAAACAGAGTAATAACTATATGGAATGAAAGGTTGTAGATTCTGTGAAATTGGTTGCTGAGTTAGATGATTTAATTAAATGAATACCAAAAAGAAGCAATCTCTTGACAGCCAACAGGCACAGGCTCTATATCGTTTTGCTTTAATGCAAAACATTTCATCAGCTAAGTTAGAATGACGTAGACATGAATAAAAAAAACAACAGAATATTGTACGTAACATTTAAATCAACAAATACAGTTGCAATATTCCTGTTATCCAACCACATTATCATTGATGCATGACCAAGTAAGTCAAGTAAGGATCATGAAAAATTTCCACAAATACTGTAAATATTTTCCAGGTTATTAAA